GTTGCTTTATTTTCCTTCAGCCCAAAAAGTTTTGGCAACAGATTTAGTCATTAGATTTTGTTGCTTTACTTTCCTTCAGCCCAAAAAGTTTTGGCAACAGTTTTAGTCATTAGATGTTGTTTCCTCAACTCTCCTCACAAAAATATTTTGTCCACTGGTTTAGTCATTTAGAATTTGTTTCCTCACTTTCCTGTTCCTCTTCCTTTTCCTTTTTCCTGTTCCTCTTCCTTTTCCACTTCCTCTTATTTTGTTTTGTGAAAAAATATTTCCACTATGATAGATACAAATCTAGTGGATTCAAAACCCTTGTGCAAAGGGATCACAAACATCTACAGATACACTTGTGACCAACCCCCTTTTGACAAGGGGATGTAAGACTCCAAATGTAGCCCTTTTGGCAAGGGCTTACAGAGCTCAACCCACCTAGGTTCCATCCAGCCCACCTTGCACAGTTTTTTTTTTCAAGGCCTAGTGGTCATGTTGGAATGTCCAATTCCCTTTTCTCAAGGGATATTGAAACACACTCCTTTCATCAAGGAGTTATACAATCCTTTTCTCAAGGAGTTTTCTTTCCTTTTTATCAAGGAGTTCTTTTGCATTCACTCCTTTTGAATTCAGAGGTTGTACCAAGGAGTGTTTTGAATTCATACTCCTTTTCTCAAGGAGTTCACTTGCTTGTGCCTTTGCCAATGAACACACAAAATGGATTTAATTAATATGTTTCTTATGTTTTTATTCAATGAATTCATTTGCTTGGGCCCACAAAAATGAACAAAGTATGTTTATTATGTTTGCAACACACTCCTTTTCTCAAGGAGTTGCAAAGCACATGCAAGCATGGTGAGACACTCCTTTTCTCAAGGAGTTTGCTTGCACTCCTTTTGTCAAGGAGTTCATTTGCTTGTGCATTTACCAAACAGTAAACAACTAGTCTTTGCTTTGGGGGGGAGCTTAGGCTTTACACAACATTGGTAACAGCACAAGCAATGTGAAACACTCCTTTTCTCAAGGAGTTTTGCTTGCACTCCTTTTATCAAGGAGTTTGCACCATCCTTTTGTCAAGGAGTTGCCATCAGGACCATCCTTTTGACAAGGATTCAGGACTTGCCAAAGTCCTTGAGGACTGCTTCCACAGGCTCTGGCAAGTCCCTGTAGGTGTTGTTGCACCAGTTGTGTGCAATTCTTTTTGGTCCTGATGGCATAGACTGGGTAGGACAGCTGCTCTGCCTCCCAGAGGATGCCATCATCATCATCATCATCAATCAGGGCATCCAGGTGCAACCTCTGGCACCACTTCACCTTTCCCTCATCACCACACTTCTCCCTGGTGAACTTCACACATGTGAAGGGGACTGGGAGGCCTGCCAGCTCCTGCCTCACTTCCTGCTCCCTGTTGTGGCCACAGAAGCAGCACAGGAAGAGCTTCACCCCAGCCCCAGCCAGCTTTTGCAAGGCTATGATGTTGGCTGGGAGCACATCATCCTTCATCCTGATGGTCTGGTACCAGTCCACAGCCACCCTCAGGGTGTCATCAGTCTTGGGCCTCCACCTCACATTGGTGTTGGATGACCTCCAGCCCTTGGGCTGCCAAGCCCTTATGGGAAGGGGCTGGCTGCTGGCGCTGCTCCCTTTTGCCAAGGGATCCATATCTGCATGTTCCTTGCTCCCTTTTGGCAAGGGTTCAGCCAGTGGTTCAGATGCCTGCCCTTTTGACAAGGGCTCAACAGCAGCCTCAGAAGGCTTCTCTTCTGCCATCTCTGCAGCCCCTTTTGCCAAGGGGTTTCCATCCTCACCATCAGGCTGCTTTTCAACCCCTTTGTCCAAGGGATCTTCAGCACCAGGCTTCTGTTCACCCCCTTTTGCCAAGGGGTCATCATTCTCACCCCCCTTTTGCCAAGGGGTCATCATTCTCTTCACCCTTTTTTGCAAAGGGCTCAGTCTCTTCAGCCCCTTCTGCCAAGGGCACACCATGCTCTTCATCCCCTTTTGACAAGGGTTCAGCTTCCATTGGTGCACTCTCATCATGCCCTTTTGCCAAGGGCTTGTCACCATTCTCTTCATCTCCTTTGGCCATGGCCTCTTCTGCCAAAGGCTCATCTGTCTCTTCAGTCCCTTTTGACAAGGGTTCTTGCACCTGTGCAGCCTCATTCTGCTCAACCCCTTTTAGCAAGGGGTCAGCACCCACTGGCACCTCTCCTTGTTCAGGCCCTTTTGGCAAGGGCTCAACCTCCATTGGTGCCTACACCTCTTCCTTGGGCTCAGTCTGATCAAACCCTTTTGGCAAGGGTTCAACCTCCATTGCAGACTGATCTGCCCAGTCAACCTTCTCTTCTTTTAGGGTTGACTGAGCACCCTCAGCTGGTGCTTCTTCAACCCCTTTTGACAAGGGCTCTTCATCCTTCTTATCCCTTTTGGCAAGGGGTGGCTGCACTGGCCCTGAGCTGCTGCTTGAGGTGCTGCTGTATGCCTCACTGCTACTCTCAGCAGCTGGCTTGGGTGCAGCAGGTGCTGCTGGAGGTGCAGCAGGCTGCTGGGGTGCTGCAGCAGCTGCAGCAGGCTGAGGCACAGCAGCAATTACCCTTGCCAGTGCCTTTCTTCTTCGCTTTTCCCTCCTGACAGTTCCCAGACCAGCAGGCCTGTTCTTGTTGTTCCTGAGGTCTGACTGACCATCCCAGGCATCCCAGTTGGCCATGCCCCTTTGGTCGAGGGGTTAGCCTCAAACCCTTTTGTCAAGGGTTGGAGGCTCACCCCTTTTGTCAAGGGTTTGGAGCTTACCCTTTTGTCAAGGG